GCTGCAGCAGATTCCTAGCAGGTCCTGAGGTGCCTGCCTTCATGAAGGTGTTCCCAGCAGGGGTAGAGTCAGAATAACTGGGGGGTCAGCAGGCTCCCATTGGCAACTGTGTACATTGCTGCACTGGTGGTGGTGATAGTAGGGGGCAGAGCACTGGTGGGTGCAGGTGTGTGTGCACCCTCTGTGACTGCTCAGGGAAGATGAGAATTCATTGTTTTCAGTGTCTAGATTCATTCAGGTGGCAGTGTTGGCACAACGCACATCACTGAGAGAGGCAGGACTGGCATCTTTTGTGCCCATGAGGGCTCTGACTACAATGGCAGTATGGCAGAGAAAGGGGAGCAGAGTGCATTCCTGCTGGCAGCAGAGGCAGGGCAGGGTGTACATGCAGACACAAGCTGGTGATGCAGGGAAGGGAAAATCTACCTGCACACATACAAGCCAGCAAAATGATGTCGGGGGCAGGGTGGTTGGCCTTGGGCTTGGAAGAAGCTGCAGCAGAGGGAGGGAGCAGGCAAGCTGGTGCATGACCCTAGGGGCCACTTCACTGGAGCTTTCCACCAAGCAGGTATGGTCTGCCAGTGCAGGATTTAAGATGTGGGCCCCCAAGGAACCTGAGGTGACATTGCAAGTAGAAAAGGCCAGGCTGGGCATTGCGAGAGGTCAGCAGACCAGGGGGTACTAAGGTTGGATCTGCTCCATCTGATGGGCAACATTACCCTGCAGAATTCACATCTGACAGTTCCCATGGGGTTAAACTCTCCTATGGAAGAGAGTCAGCCTGGAGGGATGGTCATCTGTGGCCATGCTTTCCTATAGATGTTCCTGCACAAAACCCTCTGGGCTTCACGTCAGCTAGCATGTTTCCCCTACCAATCCTCTAAGTAGCTCTCCCTGCCAACTCAAGTGTCTGTGATGGTTGAGGAGTAAGATTCCAGGGGCTCGTGGCAAGAGTGGGTTGCTCCTTGCCAGTTCAACTCACCTATTCCTCCAAAGTTGTTGGGGGCCTGGAACAAGTTCCAGTGCATGCTAGCCTTGTTCAGGGTTCCCAGCTGCCTTTCCCTTCTCTCCAGCTTTTGTGGACCTGTTAGGAGTATGCCAGCCATCCAAGTCCCACAGTGACAGCTGTTCCACCTGGCTGCATCTAGTCAGACATCTTGACCAAATTGATAGTTTCTTACAAAGCTAAGCATAGCCTTACCATATGATTATACTCCTAGACATTTACCCAACTGATTTGAAATATATATGTAGACAAAAACCTACTCATGAATGTTTACAGCAACTTCATTCCCTAACAGCAAAAAATTGGAGACAACCACAATATTCTTCAATAAGTGTATGAGTAAACAAACTATACTATATTTACAATAGACTGTTATTCAACAATAAAAAGGACGTAACTACCAAGCTATAAAAATAATGAATGAATCTTAAATGCATAATGCTAGCTGAAAGAAGCTGGTTTTGAAAGGTTATATACTCTATGACTCCAATTAAATGACATTCTGGAAAAACCAAAATTATAGAGACAGCAAAAGACTGGCAATTGTCAAGCTGAACAATTTAAGTTGAAGAACAATTTAGGGTAGAGAAATTATTCTGTCTAATACTGTAGAAATGAACATATGACATTATGAATATGTCAAAAACTATAGAAAAAATTTTAATTTGTTTAAGTTTTGAGAACTATACTATAACAAACTGGATAACCTTGAAGAAATAGATAAATTTCTGGACACAGCTTGTCAAAATTAAGAAGAAATAAAAAATCTGAACAGATCAGTAAGAAATAAAATAGAATCATTAATTTAAAAAATATCCCAGCAAAGAAAAGCCAGGACCTAATGGATTATGTTTTAAATTTTACTAACCATTTGAAAAAGAACTAATATCAATTTATCCCAAACTCTTCCAAACATTGAAGAGGAGGCAACTCCATATTCATATTATAAGGCCTGCATTACTCTGATACCTAAGCCACAAAAGGATACTAAAAGAAAAGTGCAATTCAATATCTCTGATGAACATAGATGCCAAAATACTAACATAATAAATCTGACAGCACATTAAAAGAATCATTCACTGTTATTAAGCACAAGGATATTTGAACATATGCAAATCAATAAATGTGATATTCCACATTGACAGAATGAAAGGCAAAAACCACATGATCATCTTAATAGATGCAGAAAAGGCATTGACACAATTCAATATCCTTCATGATAAAAACTTCCAACAAATTACACTTAGAAGGAACCTACCTCAGTGATAAATGCCACATATGACAACCCACAGCTAACATCATATTCAATGGTGAAAAACTGAAAGCTTTCCTTCTAAGCTCAGAAAGAAAATAAGGATGCCCATTCTCACCACATCTATTCAATATATTGCTGAAAGTACTACCTAGAACAAGTAGGTAAGAAATAAAAGGCAACCAAATTGGAAAAGAAGAAGTAAATAGTCTGTTTGCAGATGACGTGACCTTATATGAGAAAATTTTAAAGATGTCATCAAAAAACTTTTAGAATAAATGATTTCAGTAAAGCTGCAGATTTAAAAATGAACATACAAACACTAGCGGTATTTTTATACACTAACAATGAATTACTTGAAAAGGAAGTCAAGAAAACAATCTCATTTATAATAACTGCAAAAAAATGTTTTTAAATACTTAGGACTACATTTAACTAAGGAGGTGAAAGCTCTGTACACTAAAAACTGTAATATATTGACAAAATAAATGAAAAAAGAGAATTAAAAGTAAATACATTTATGTACATAAATTTTAAAAACATTGTTAAAATATCCAAAATAATTAATGAGAACACATGGACACAGGGAGGGGAGCACTACACACTGGGGTCTGTTGGGGGGAATAGGGGAGGAACAGTGGGGGGTGGGGAGTTGGGGAGAGATAACATGGGGAGAAATGCCAGATATAGGTGAAGGGGAGGAAGGCAGCAAATCACACTGCCATGTGTGTACCTATGCAACTATCTTGCAATAAAAAAAAAGATTACCTACAGATTAAATGCAGTCCCTATTGAAATTCCAATGGCATTCATCACAGAAATGGAAAAAACAAAAACAAATTTGTATGTATTCATAAAAGACTCCAAATTTTGAGAAAAAGGAACAAAGCTGGAAGCATCACATTCACTCACTATTTCAAACTCTATTACATAGCCATAGTAATTAAAACAGTATGATACCATAAAACATGACACATACCAATGGAACAGAGTAAGGAGGCCAAAAATAAATTCACACATATATGAACAACTAAGATTTGACAAGGGTGCCAATAATACACAGTGGGAAAAGAAAAATCTATTTAATAAGTGGTGTTGAAAAAACTAAATATCCACATGCAAAAGAAAAAAACTTAAGTCTTGTCTTATATACCAAAACTAACAGGAAATGAATTAAAGATATAAATTTAAAACCTGAAACTGTAAAACTACCAGAAGAAAACATGAGGAAAAAACTCCCTGACAATAGTCTTAGCAATCATATTTTGGATATGACCACAAAAGCACAAGTAACAAAAATAAACAAGTGAGACTATATCAAACTAGAATTTCCACTGCACCACAAAAGAAACAATTGACCAAATTAAAAGGCAATCTACCAAATGGGAGAAAATATTAGTAAATTATATGTATGATAAGGAGTTGATATTCATGATACATTAGAAAGTACACAAGTCAATAGCAAAACAACAAACAACTTAATTTTTACAATTGGCAAAGATTTGAATAGACATATTCCCAAAACAGATATAGAAATAGTCAACATGTATATGAAAAGATGCTCAACATCATTAACCATTGGGAAATGCAAATTAAAACCACAATGAGACATCACCTCATATCTACTGGGATGGCTGCTATGAGAAGACACATGATATCAAGTGTTGGTAAGGATGTGGAGAAAGGGGAACCATTTTACACTACTGGTGGGAATGTAAATTGGTACAGGTATTATGGAAAACAATACAGGAGTTCCTCCCAAAATAAAAGATAAAACTTCAATATGTTCCAGCAATCTCACTTCTAGATATATACATAAAGGAAATGAAATCACTATCTCTAAAAGATAACTACACTTCGATGTTCACTGCAACATTATTCACAGTAGCCAAAATATGGAAACAACCCAAATGTACATCAATGGATGTACAGGTATATATGTTGTGGTACATATATGTGATAGACTGTCATTCAGCCACAGAAAGAAGTTTTGCCATTTGCAGCAACATAGATGAACCTAATGACATTACGATAGGTAAAATAAGTCAGACACAGAAAGACAGATACTGTATGATCTCATTTACATGTAGAATCTGAAAAAAAAAAGGCTTATAGAAAGAGAGAGTAGAACAGTGGTTGTCAGGGGTTTTGAAGTGAAAGAAAAGGCAAATATATTAATCAAAGGGTATAAACTTTCAGCCATAAGATAAACACATTTTGGGTAACTAATATAAAACATGGATGGTGATTAATGTGTTAATTTGATTGTGGTAATCATTATACAATGTATATGTATGTTAAATTATCATTTTATATACCTTGAATATATCTGATCTTTGTCAATTAAATATTTATAAATTTAAAGATCTATAAAAGAAATAAGTCATTTACATTTCTATGTACTAAAAAAGATCTAAAAGGGAAATTAAGAAATTAATATCATTACCAATAGAAACAAAAATAAAATAATTAATAGTAAACTTAACCAGGGAGGTGAAAGACTTGTACACTTAAAACAATGAAACATTGATGAAAGAAATTAAAGCAGATGCAAATAAATGGAAAGACTTTCTTTCTTAATAGAACAATTAATATTGTTAAAATATCCACACTACCTGAAGCAATGCATAGATTCAATGCAAATAACTGTGAAAATCCCAACATCATATTTTAAAGAAATTTTTTTAAATCCTAAAAGTCATGTGAAGGCACAAAGACTCATGAAGTCACATGGAGAGGGGAAAAGGTGGCAAGAAGGTTTTATTTAGGAGGGAAGAACTGTGGCTACCTCCTAAATGTTACACTCAATAGGGAGGACAGAGTTCATGTTATAGATGAGAGAAAGAAGAGTTAGTTGCCAGAGTCATTGCCTTTAGTAGAGAGGAGGGGGCGGAACCTGGTACACAGGAAGAAGGGTTTACTTCTGTAGATGCAGGATCAGGTCACCCAGTCTCAGGAGAAGTTAAAGGAAACTTAGTCCCAGATGGAGGTGTATAGGTAGTGGTAGTGACACGAGATTGAGGAATTCTCACCTGCTAACTTTCTCAGTAAAACAGAAAGCAACATAATAAACAGAGTAAGAATGAAAAAGGATTATTTGAAGATTCAGACCACTTTTTCTATAGCCTGAATATTTTTACCATGTACGTAATTTATATTCATAAATATAAACTTTGGTTATTATCAGAAATAAAATATTTTAAAAATCACTTTTAGACTCCCTTGCATTTGGGGTTCCAGATGTTTTGGATGCTGACCATTTAATATACTCATAAGAGATTTGAATTTGTAGTAAGCTAGTTAGGCAGAGAAGTAGTAGGAGAGACTTCTGTTGCACTAGGGGCGATTTGATAGGTCCACAGTGGTTCTGGATCATCAACTACATACCAGGCACATGACAGTGTTTTTCAGACAACAAATGGCTAACATTGCAGCAAGAACAACTTCCCTGACAACATAGGTCTCCTGTGTTAGTCTGTGAGGCATCTGTCAATCCAGCCTGTAGTCTGCTCTTTTAGAGTTTCCAGCTATTTTGTGAATACTTAATTCCCTATATTAAATAATTTTTGTTTAAAGGAAATTAACAAAGTGGACTTACCAAAATTTAAAACTTGTTCTTTCAACATCCAACCATTAAGAAAATGAAAGTCAAGCTATTAGGCTGAGAGAAAATGTGTGCAAGACATACATCTGGATATATTGTATTTGTCTGAATATATTGTATATTGGATTATATATATAATTGCTTCTCAGCCTTTTGGCTAAGATCAAGTGAATATATTGTACCCAGAATATGTAAAAAAATATATATCACTAGAATGATTTCTTCTCTGACACAGAATCCTAATTGGTCTACCAAAGGACAGTCATCATTGTACTTATAGTGAAATCAACTGGCAATAAGATCAAACATACAGCTGAAAGTCATATAAATTTGCTAGGATTAATAATGACACTCTAGAAAAAAAACGAAGTAAAATGATTTTGTGACCTTTTTCAATAAAAGTAACCAGCTTTCTTTTGCCATTCTTTGCTTATTTATGGAAGAAATATTGGTAGTTTAATACCTTTCAAAGTATACTTACAAGTATAATATTTCCTCTCAATGATATTTTTCAATGCTTTGATATCTGCACAGAATCTTGAGTTTGTAGCCCTGAGTCATTTATGAACCTTCAGTAGAGGAATCATTCTTCTGCTTAAAGTAACAGAATGATTTCTTATTTCAACTGTAATAAAATTAAAACTCATAATTACTATGTAGACCATATGTTTTAGACACTACCAGTATCTCCAAATTTAAGTCTAATCATTTTCACATTAAATTACTATATTCCAGGTAACTTGAACTTTATTGCATCCCTCAAATATACCAAGTTCATTACCATCTTTGAGTTTTTGCACTACCTGTGCCCTCTGTCTAGAATACTATAGACTCAAATGTTTGCATGTTTACTCCTTCAGTTTATCCAGATATGATCCAAAATGTCAGCTCCTCAAGAAGGCCTTTTTTGATGATTAAATGCAAACTGGTTACTCCCAATTCAGAGTCACAATCTATCATTTCACTTTTCTTTTTCATTTTTACAGAGCAGTATCTCCTCCTGAAACTATGCTGTTTTATTTTCTACTTTAACGGCTATTTTTACTAGGTTGTATCTCTTGGAGAGCAGACAAACCTCATCCGTCTTTTCAATGTTTCTTTTACTAGGTTGAATCACTTGGATAGCAGACAGAACTTATCTCTCATTCATATTTCTTTTTTCTGTTCCTAGGATAGTCCTGACAAATGGGATGTGTTCAATGATTGCAGTACTTGGAAATAAACAAATCAATTTCCATAAACAAATCAATTTCAGATAAAATTCTACAGTCTTTTTTTATTCTTTTATTTTGCCCTTTTTTCAGGCCATGTGCTTATTAAACACCTTTTTCATGGAAGTTTTCACTTCCTGGTTGCGAAGGGTATAAATGACAGGATTCAACAAAGGAAAGATCACAGTGTGGAAGAGAGAAACCACCTTGTCAGCTGGGAAAGCCCGGAAGGGGCGTGTGTAGATGAAGATGCCAGGTCCAAACATGAGGAACATAACAATGATATGGGTGGTGCATGTGGACACGGCCTTGTTTTTCCCCTCAGAGGAAGACCCCCGTATACGACACAGAATGACTGCATAGGAGGTCAGAAGCCCCAGGAAGCACAAGAGTGTCATCAGGCCACTGTTGAAGACCATCAGAAGCTCCACCACAAACGTGTCGGTGCAGGCCAGCTTGATGACCTGTGGGACATCACAGAAGAAGTTGTCCAGCTGGTTTGGGCCACAAAAAGGCAAGCGGAGGATGAGGACCACCTGGACAATGGAGTGGACAAAACCCCCAAGCCACAAAGCCAACAACATTGCATAACAGGCTCTAGGGTTCATAACAGTTGAATAGTGTAAAGGCCGGCAGATGGCGATGTAGCGGTCAAAGGCCATCACAACAAGGAGTAATCCCTCCCCTCCTCCAAGGAAGTGCAAGAAAAAGAGCTGAGTGATGCAGCCTCTGTAGGAGATTACCTTCTTCTCAGAGAGGAAGTCCACAAGCATCCTGGGAGCCACAATGAAGGAGTAGGAAGCATCCAGGAAGGCCAAGTTGCCCAGAAAGAAGTAGAGTGGGGCTGTGAGCCCAGGGTCTGACCTTATGGTGAAAACGATGAGGAAATTACCAGGAAGGATGATAAAGTAGAAAATTAAGATCAGCACAAAGACCAGGAGCTGCATATCTCGAGACTGGGTCAGACCAAGAAGGATGAATTCTGTTATCACTGTTCTGTTCTTGCTTTCCATTTCCCTGGCCTGCAGTATATGAACAAGCAGAATTAATTGTTATTACTATGTCTTCCAACTAGATACTAGTTCTACAGCTAAAAAATATTTGGCACATATAGTACTTCAGCTAAAAACATTTCCCATCCCTCTCCTATTCTGAGTAAACTCCATTACCTTAATTTCTCCAAATTTAAAATGAAAACAAAATACTGTTCTCAAAGCTACAATTTTATTCCCATTCAACCACATGCTTCTACAGAATCATTTTCCACTTTAGGAGTCTGGCATCCTCCATGTTGGGATTCCTACATTCTTAAATCACATTAAGTTTCCTGATGGATAAACAACCTAACTGGTCTTTGAGTTTCTGTGGATATACTGTGTTTGAGTCTTAGCTCTTTTCTTGGGATTGACCCTTTTTATACTTGTCCACACAACCCCAAAATTTTGCTAGACATTTTCTTCCCTCAGTTTTTGTGTAATTCCCAGTTCATATATAGTAACTCTCTTCCTTGACTTCTGTCTTATCATCTGATCTGCTTCATTTATACTCCTCTGGTCAGACATCCTTGTATACTCTTTTCCCAGACTATTCACCAGAATCCCAAGCTATAGCTCCACTTTTCACCTAATACAAACATAGTACTCCAGCTATAAATCTGAGCACCACTCCTATGGCTACTCCTCACCTGCATGGAGCTTATTAGGCACTTTTTGAGTTTCAAATACTAATAAACTCACAATACATTTATTTCTCTGTTCCCAGTATCACACCCATGTAGAGCCTTTCAACAAACAATATGATATGCTACAATATAAAATTTGCAAGTATAATACTTTAAATGTCATGATTTCAACTCACAAAATTACAGCATAGATACACCATAAGGAGCCATAAAGATACTGTATAAAATCAAGGCGCAAAAATCACAAGCATTCCTATACACCAAGAACAGACAAACAGAGAGCCAAATCATGAGCAAACTCCCATTCATAATTGCTACAAGAGAAAAAAGAAACCTAGGAACACAACCAATAAAGAACATGAGGGACCTCTTCAAGGAGAACTACAAACCACTGCTCTAGGAAATAAAAGAGAACACAAGCAAATGGAAAAACATTCCATGTTCATTGTTAGGAAGAATCAGTATCGTGAAAATGGTCATACTGCCCAAAGTAATTTACAGATTCAATGCTAACCCCATCAAGCTACCATTGACCTTCTTCACAGAACTGGAAAAAAACAACTTAAACTTCATATGAAACCAAAAGAGAGCCCACATAGCCAAGACAATGTTAAGCAAAAAGAACAAAGCTGAAGGCATCACTCTACCTGACCTCAAACTATACTATAAGGCTACGGCAATCAAAACGGCATGGTACTGGTACTAAAACAGAGATATAGACCAATGGAACAGAACAGAGGCCTCGGAGGCAACACAACATATCTACAACCATCTGATCTTTGACAAACCTGACAAAAACAAGCAATGGGGAAAGTATTCCCTGTTTAATAAATCATGTTGGGAAAACTGGCTAGCCATGTGCAGAAAGCTGAAACTGGACCCATTCCTTACACTTTATACAAAAAATAACTTCACATGGATTAAAGATTTAAACATAAGACTGAACACCATAAAAACTCTAGAAGAAAACCTAGGCAACACCATTCAGGACATAGGCATAGGAAAGGACTTCATGACTAAAACACCAAAAGCAATGGCAACAAAAGCCAAAATAGACAAATGGGATCTAATTAAACTTAAGAGTTCTGCACAGCAAAAGAAACAATCATTAACCAACAGAATGGGAAAAAATGTTTGCCATCTACCCATCTGACAAAGGGCTAATATCCAGAATCTAGGAAGTACTAAAACAAATTTAAATAAAAACAAACAACCCCATCAAAAAGTGAACAAAGGATATAAACAGACACTTTTCAAAAGAAGACATTTATGCGACCAACAAACATACAAGAAAATGCTCATCATCACTGGTCATTACAGAAATGCAAATCAAAACCACATTGAGATATCATCTCATGCCAGTAAGAATGGGATCATTAAAGAATCTGGAGACAGCAGATGCTGGAGAGGATGTGGAGATATAGGAATGCCTTTACACTGTTGGTGGGAGTGTAAATTAGTGCAACCATTGTGGAAGACACTGTGGCAATTCCTCATGGATCTAGAAATAGAAATACATTTGATTCAGCAATCCCAGCTATCTGGGTATATACCCAAAGGATTATAAAGCATTCTATTATAAAGACATATACACATATATGTTCATTGCAGCACTGTTTACAATAGCAAAGACTTGGAACCAACCCAAATGCCCATCAAGGATAGCCTGGTGTAAAGAAAATATACATCATGGAATACTATGCAGCCATAAAAAAGTATGAGCTCAAGTCCTTTGTAGGGACATGGATAAAGCTGTAAACCATAATTCTCAGCAACTGACACAAAAACAGAAAACCAAACACTGCATGTTCTCACTCATAAGTGAGTGCTGAACAATGAGAACATACGGACACAGGGAGGGGAACATCACATATTGGGGTCTGTGTGTGGTGCAGGCCAGGGGAGTGGTAACAGGGTATGGGGTGCATCCCTCTGCACCCTCCAGAATCTATGAAGTACTAAAACAAATTTTTTAGTTTTAGATTCTGGAAAGGTGCAGAGGGATGACATTAGGAGAAATACCTAATGTAGGTGAAGTGGGGATGGACACGGCAAACCACCATGATGTGCGTATACCTATGTAACAATGCTGCAAGATCTGCACATGTACTCTAGAACTTAAAGTATAATTTAAAAAAAAAATACTGTCGTCTTATTCTTCCATTTCTAAGATGAGAAAACAAAAGCTCCTGTAGTTATATTAAGTTTAGAGTTTTATTTTTTTCTCTTCTTTTGATAAGTAGTAGGACAATGCAAGTGTATACTATTCAGTTTAAATGGATAAAGAATATTTTAATCACAGCTTTCATGAATGAGTGCTCTTTTTTGTGCAGTTGAATAACTTAAAATAATATTGCCAGTCTAAAAATCACTTCTGTATTGCTTTGATTTGTAAGTTCAACCTTGTTTAAATAAAAAGAAAAACAACGTGCTTTGTGAAGAAAACTCATATTTAACATTCATATTTTTTCATGGAGTATACTCATTCCGGAAGGTGCATATGATAATCCACGGAAGTATAGAAAGAACATAGTGATTTATCTATATTTAGTAAATGTTTAACATTTTATACATATCACTACACTTGATTCTTTTCAAAGTTCACTGTTTAATATTTATAATGGATAATACAATAGTTTATATATACTTTAAAAATAAATATGCATACATTTAAGGTTACACACTAAAAAATGTCTTACGGGAATAAATTTTTTCAGCTTGAAAATTGCTGACCTACAACAAAATACGAACTGTAATATAAAAGGATATTTTTCATATAATTTAACTAAACAGTTTATTTGTTTTAAATAAGTTCTCTAGCACATGGGGTGCAGAAAATCTTTGACAGAAAATGCTACTGTGACATTACCTAGAAAAGAAAGACAAGAAGATAGAGAACTAGGGAAAGGAAGAAAAGAGAAACAGACAAGTAAAAAAACAAGCAAGCAAATACCAAAACACAGACTGCATATCTATATAGTGTCATGTTAGGGTACTTATTTTAAGAAGCATTAAAACTATCTGCTTTATGTATCCCTAGAACTGAATAGAGTAGTTAACACAGAAATTTCTGGGTGTTACTAGAAGCCACAAGTGGAATTTATGAAAGTCATATTTTAACACATCATCATATATACATATGCAAATACCACATGAACACACACATATGCACACAAATACATACAAACATACACAAAATTGTAATAGGAAAAAATATTTTGTAAGTCCATCCAAATGAGCTTTTCTCCTCATGTCTTAATCTTTACCCCCATTGCCAGCCATTTGTCTCAACATTTATTCTACTATCTGCCTATATAAATATTTCCTTAAATCAAGAGCCCCTTCTCTTGTTGACCCTTGAACAATGCAGGCGTTAGTGGGGCAGACCCCCTGTGCCATAAAAAAATAGCATATAACTTGACTCCCTAAAGACTTAGTTTCTAATAGCCTACTGTTGATCACAAGTTTTGCTGGTTACAAAAAGAATTGAATAACATATATTTTTATGTTTTATGAATTATATACTATGTTCCTACAACAAACTAAGCTACAGAAAAGAAAATGTAACAAAATCATAAGGAAAGGAAAATATAGATACTGTTCATTAAGTGAAAGTGGATCATCATAAAGTTCTTATCCTTGTCATATTCCCACTGAGTAGGCTGAGGAGAAGGAAGAGAAAGAGTTGGTTTTGCTGTCACAGGGGTGGCAGAGGTAGAAGAAAATCCACATATAAGTGGACCCATGTGGTTCAAACCCATGTTGTTCTGGGGTCAACTGTACTTACTTGTATGTTTTATATGTTCCACATGCTCACATAGAGTGAGGTATTTAACAATATCCCTGAGACATTTGAAAATGTCTGAAGGACTTTGAAATTGAAGGTTATAAACTTTTCACTCTGTCTGTGTCCCAGCCTTACGGTTATTTTTCCACTGTTTCTTAACAGATGGGATTCAGTACTACTTGACATCTTTTTTTTTTTTAACTTTCTTCCCTGTCCCATTCCCACCTTTGAGCTATCTCTACCTTCTCTAAATGGTGATTTTTGAATAGATGGAGAGACTAATCAGATAAGCATTCCTCTAAGCAAAATAAAATAAGTTTCTACCAAAAAAATCCATATAAGATGGCATCATCAGAGTAAAGTGTTCTATTTTAGCCAAATTAGTAGGGAAAGTTGAGTCAAAAGAGTCTGTACCACATCTTCCTCACTGTATCTCTAATCCTTCTTGCCATTTCAGCTAATTCATAGATTGGCTGGCCATGATGGCACACTACAGAAACAGGGAAGATGAAAGAGAAGGGTTCACCACATTCACAGGGTAGAGACACACAACATCTCCAGGCAACTCTGTGAGTGCCTGCCTGGAGTCTGAGCTGTGGTCAGACCCGCTCCTGGCGTCAGGTGTTTAGAGATCCTATGTGCACACTCCTCCTCCTTTATTTTTCTTTTTTCATTTTCTCTTTTTTTTTAATTCAGCAATAAGCAGTTCATTTTTTTCTGGTTATGATATTTTTTTCCCTGTTAATTTGTTGCCTTTTCTTATCCCTCGTCTCTGTTTCTTTCTGGCTCTTGTTATTATCTTTAAATACTGTTCTTTATTTTCTTTCTTCTCCCTTAAATTTATCCATGTTTTTTCACTCTGAAATGTTTTCACCCTCTCCACTTTTCCTCTATGTTCATTACTACTCCATTCTACCCCATGCCCATCTTGCTAATACATCTAAAAATAAAAAACAAAAAAATCTCACTGTCATTTTCTTTCCCAACAAGACTGAGAGATGTATCTGTTTCTCACCATCTTCCATTTTGCATATTTGGTCTACAAAATGAAAATGTATAATTTACTCTTCAGTAATAACCGTTTACTTTTAAGTGGTATTCTTCTTGCAATTGGCCAAATCTGAGTCACTTATCAATTTTATAATATATATGTACATATATATATATTGTTTGTAAGTGAACCTGATAAAAATGAGATGATTCAGTTTTTAAAAAAGAAGTAAATTCTATTAGCAGCATTCTAATAAAATAAATATATTGAATAAATGTTCCAAAAATAGGATTATAATATTAGTAGTCAGTAGTAAGTTAGTAACTGCTCAAAGTTAGTAAGTTATTTAAGTATAGAATAATAAGTTTTATATGTTCTAAAAAGTGTGAATCAGGCTGAGAACATAATCAAATATTTAATTTATACTGATGCTGATGATGAGTGTATAAAGCACTAAGCAAATATATAACTTCTTAGCCAGAAAATTTATTCATCAATAAAATGGGATGGCCAGATTAAACAACTTCTAAATTCGATTTGAATGCCAGTTTTTTAGGCAATGTAATAACATAAAAGGATTCCTGGTTTGGGAATCATTTATCTGACTATCATTCCTTGGCTTAACAATTAACTTACGTGTGATTCTCGGAAAGTCACTTAGCTTTCAGAAGCCTGAGTTTTCATTTGCCAAATAGATCAATGTATTGACTCTTTGGGTCTGATGGGGGTAACATGACGATCAAATGAAATGATGATGGTATTAACATGTAATTCATTCAAGTATGCTTCAACCAAAGTTGATCCTGAAAATATTTAGATGTTAAAAGTAGTTAGATTGAATGGACAGAATGCTACTAGATCTTTTGTCAATGTCTTTGGGTAAACCCTGGGATAATGGTAGTTGCATGAATCTGAGTAGTTAATAGAGAGAAGTTGCAGAAGGTCAGTAATGCCTTCATTTAAAATTGCCATTGCAGCCAGTGGTTTGTATATCAACCTTCTTTCACTTCTACAACTTTTTGTCAAAATTCTATGAATGAATGATAGAATCGGGTGCAACAGAAGAAACCTTCATACTTTCTGAGTGTGAAAATGAAGAGGTCAAGGACTTACCTTCTGCAAAATCATAAAATCAGTTAAGCTTTTCTCTAGAGCTTTTAGCCTACCATTTCTGCATCTGCCTCTCTTTTCTTCCATATTTAATAAGGAAAATAATACATATCAGTCATTTGTGTGATATTTGGTTTTATACCAGATGTCAACTCTCTAGAGGCTACTGAAATTATAACAGAATTAAAGGCTTTGTTCACCATTAAAGTAATCCCAAGCATTAAAAGCTGATGGAGATCTATCAGAAGAGAGAGTGCATAGTGCCCCACTGCTGAATTTAGACCTTAGTCTTTGGCTATTCCTGATAAAACTCTGACCAATCTATTCAACTGCAATTTAAGATATCAGGTGAACAAGTAAAATAGTTGCAATAGTTTTTTTTCTATTGTCCCTTTCTTTTTGTTTCTTGTAAGTATGAAGACCTCCAGAAATTTAAGTCTTCGGCGATCTTATGTTACTCTCACAAAGTAGCCATCTTCCCCCTCCTAGTAAGACTGATCATTTTTGACACTGTTCATAAATGTTCGCTGTCACATGAGGAAAGTTAGATTTTAAAATCTCTCTATTGTAAAGAAGAAAGTGCTTTTGGGATTTGAGACTACCATGACCCACTGAATGCTTCCAAAGGGAGTTATTAGGTAAACTATATTCGTTATCAACTAAATAAGGGAAAGAAAAGTACCAGAGCTCTGCAACAACTAAACTCTTTTAAATGTGCCACATAACGTCAAGCTGAGTTACTTTCTAGTTCCAAAACAAACACCCTATTGTTAATAAAACAGAACCCTATTCAGAAACATATTTATTAGTCCAGAAGTAAACAGAAGTTGTGAGTAAGTTAATTTACATGTTATAATAAAATGCAAAAGGAGAAAAATAAATTTAAAAATGAGAGGTTATTGCTTTGTACCAAAAAAGCAACAGGGCTAGGATGACGGAAAATATATATATATTTGAGTCTAATTATACACACACACACACACACACACACACACACACACACAAATTTTTCAGTTAAAGGCTTCACCAAACTTTAGAGTGTTGCTGGCAAGATGATCGAATAGGAATAGTTTCGGTCTGTAACTCCCAGTGAGACCAATGCAGATGGCAGGTGATTTCTGCATATCCAAATGAGGTACCCGGCTCATTTCACTGGGACTGGTTAGACAGTGGGTGCAACAAGGAAGGGCAAGCAGAAGCAGGGTGGGGTGTCACTTCCCCAGGAAGCACAAGGGGTTGGGGAACTCCCTCCCCTAGCCAAAGGAAGCCGTGAGGGACTGTGCTTGAGAAATGGTGCATTCTGGCCCAAATACTGCACTTTACCATGATCTTTACAACCCGCAGACCAGGAGATTTTCTCAGGTGCCTACACCACCAGAGCTCTGGGTTTCAAGCACAAAACTGGGCAGCCATTTGGGCAGACACTGAGGTAGCTGCAGGAGGTTTTTTTTTTTTTTTTTTTTCATACCCCAGTGGTGCCTGGAAGGCCAGCAAGACAGAACCATTCACTTCCCTAGAAAGGGGGCTGAAGCCAGAGAGCTAAGTGGTCAAGCTTAGGGGATTCTACCTTCTAATGCTTTTCCTTATCTTTTTATGTACCTGATTGCCTTGTCAATCTTGCACTACCAGGCAGGCTAAAAGCTCCCCTTCTAATGCCGCTTGCCTATCTATTGAAGGAGGGGGCAGTCATAAAAAAGAATGAAATCATATCCTTTGCAGCAACATGCATGAACCTGGAGGCCATTTTCCTAAGTGAACTAACATAGTAGCAAAAAACCAAATACTATATGCTCTTACTTTTAAATTGGAGATAAACATTGACTACACATGGACACAAAGAAAGGAACAGGAAATAGCTGGGCCTAGTTGAGACTGGATGGTGGGGAAAGGGTGAGGATCAGAAAACTTTATATCAGGGACTATATTTATTACCTAGGTGATAGATCTGTTCACCAAACCCCCATGACAAGCAATTTACCTATATGACAAACCTGCACATGTATCCCTGAACCTAAACGTTAAATAATTAAAATTAAAAGTTATCCTAAAACAAATAAATAAGGAAAGCAGAAAAAGAAATTATTGTTTGGGATCTAGTGGACTCATTTGGAGATAAGGGGACACTGGCTTTTTGAATTTCCACCATTCTTGCACTGGTTCTTTCTCATCTGGAAGCATTGGTTTATTTACCTGTGGTGTAATTTGAGTATAGTCAGTTGGCTTTGTTTGTGGATGTTTTCAGATAGCCAAGGCTTTGTGCAGTGTCTTTTATTTGTGGCTGGATTCTTTCCCTTGATTTCACTGGACGATAGTAGCAAAGTATTTTTTGTGTTGTAGCAGTTTTGGCTGCACTCCAGTAGATGTCGCTTGAGTAATGGATGGTAGATAGGCCCTTGCTCAGGCCTGTGGTTCATTTGTACTTCATCACATCTACAGCCCTGGTCTGCGGCACCACGGGGAGAGAAGTGACCCCTTCACCAGGTCCGCTCCCGAGCTTCGGGGGAACCCCCTCCGATCGCTAGCACCGCATCCTCATTTGTTTTGCTGGGTGTTCCAGGCTGCGGGGCTTCCTCAGGCTGAGGCCACGGCAGGGAGATGGACCACACCTTTTCCAGGCTCGTCCTGCGGAGGCAGGAGTGCCCCGCTCCACAGCAGCCCAGGAAACCACGCGGTTACCCTTCTCAGTGCTTGGAGAGTGTGTGTTTCTCTTCCCGCTCCAGTGTTGGACCTGGGGCGACCTCGGGCTTTTTACTCCCTCCCCAGCTTGAGAAGACAGTAGGGGGCGGTATCTTGGCGGTAGCAACGGCAGATATGAAACAAACACTCATATCTGGGCCCTGTCTAGTGAAGAACAGCAGGGGTCAGAGGTTTGCAGGGAAGACAATCTGGCCTTCTCTCCCTCGGACGGCTGCGGTCAGGCTCTTTGTTCCCTACTTAGCCTGGGGGGAACAAGGGCCCTACACTGAGGTGATGATTGACGCCAGAGAGCCTGTCGGTTGTTTCTGGGAGCTCTACCCCAGAGAAACTCGGGGCCACCACAGAATGAAAGATCAGGTACAGGTGGGGCAGTTGTGGTGAGACCTCAGGCTGGGAGGCCCTGCCCAGTGAGGAGTAGCTGGGACAGGGACCCGCGTGGAAACAGTGTGGCCGCTTTTCTCTGTGACAGCTGTCCGTATGACAGCTGCAATGCGGAAGGTCTAGGATAGCTCCTGTGCTATCTTGGATCTCTCCCCAGCCACAGAACAGTATGTGGAGACCACAGCACCAGAAATCTCAGGCCTATTGTTGACAGCTGGGAGTTCCTTCCCGAAGAAATAGAGACCTCTGACTGGCCTGGGTGTTCAGGTGGAAGCAGGGTGGCTGTGTGGGGAACCCCGGCCAGTGGGCTTTGCCTGGAGCGATGAAGCAAGCAGGGCCTGCAGTCAGTCCGCTCCTCAGCACCATGTATACAGCCCCTATTCTAGGGACAGGCGAGAGAGCTGACCTGTCTTGCTGGTGAGACTATAGCAGCTGGCACCAACGTGCTCAGGGCCCCAAGGCCCATGGAGCTCCAGGTAGGCCTAGCTGCAGCTCTGCCCAAACTCCAGTCATCTCTCTGTGTTGGTCTGGAGGCCCTCCGGGCTCATGGGAGATCTCCTGTGCTAGGATTGCTAAGGCCCATGGCAGAGGTGTGGGTCCCAAGAGGTTCTTACTCATCCCCTTCTTATGTTTGGGAGCCTCTCCTGGCTCTATGCCAACCCTGGGTGGACTGCTTTCCTGCATGGCTCCTTTCTGCTGTCCATGGATTGCGGTTGCTTCCTTGATGTATCCTAACATGGCCTCATGGACAATCCACTAGAAGAGCTAGTGTTTACTCTCACCACGTGTCTCCCTCTCCATGAGTGGCACATGATAGCTGCTTCTGGCACCTCTCTCTATTCCGTACTTTTTGACTGATAATACATGAGCAACATTTTTCTACATGCTAATCAAAATCAGTGGTTTTTATTTCTATGGTTGATTTTTAAGGATAAAATTATTTTCATGTTTATAAGCCTTTTTATTTTTTCCTTTGTTCATTGCTCATATTTCCTTCTATCTACCTATTTCATATTCATTTAGGCAAATTATTTATGTATTAAATAAACATTTTATCATTTATATCCATTTCTTTAATACTTTTTACTTTAATTTTTTATGCATGGATGCTCTTATATAATCTTTGAGTAGGGAGAAAATATTCAATTTACATGCAAACCTTTTAATTGTGCAGAAAATAATCTCCACATCTATCTATGATAGACATATTTTCAGCATTTTTCTGTCTTTTACCCACATAAACATTTTTTATTTTTACATATAATATACTCATGCAAAATCTAATTTAGAAAAAATAATGAAAGAGAGAGAATAACATGAGAGGCACTCTCTACAATTCTCTTCATGACAGACCATGGCTGATTGATCGTTCCCTGAGCCAAGACCTGGGAAAGTGCTTCTTGCCCTCTCCTGGTTATTGCAGGGATCAGTCACTTAGCAGGTTAGTTCTACAGTGTTTTTCTGGCAACAATTTCTATAATAGATGCCCAGCATGAATAATGGTCTTCTATACTTGAAATAATTTTATAAGCACCTAACTTCTCACATTAAACTCCACTATTAATACAGAAGTTATTAAGACATTATTTTTGGGGGGGAGGACTCAAGATGGCGCTGTGAGAACAACCCAGGATTGGAGTTCTCGTTGTGTCGGCGGAGAGGTGAGTCTGAGCTGCATTTCCAGACTGATCTTTGTTGCCCACGGAACGGGGAAATTCCCAAGTGAAGAGGAGACTCGGGATGCCAGGCAGATATTCCGCCTGGCGAAGCCGGCAGCCGGGGTGGCGGCGGCCGGCCCTACCCAGCGCTCCCCGCAGGGCACGCTTGTCCGGGTGCCCCAATGAACCGGCAACCGGAGACGTGAGAGGGCTGGACTTGAGACTGAGCTAGACTTGCACAGTGGACCAGCCCAGGGGATTGCAGGAACAGAGCGTTAGGATTGGCCCAGTGGGACGAACAAAACCGCGATTTCAAACAAGCCCCGTGCAGACGGCCCGAGACGCTCTGAGGGGGAGGGGCGGCCACTATTACCGAGGCAACCCGCCCCAACTGAGATACACGCCCATTGCTGATGCAGCCAGCCATTGCCGAGGCAACCCGTCCCTACTGAGATACACGCCCACTGCTGACGCAGCCAGCCATTGCCGAGGCAACACGCTGCTACAGAGAGACTCCGCCGCAGGGCGTGGCGGAGAACAGCAGAACAGCGGAGCCAGGGCGAGCCTCGCAACAGCAGGGCGGAGCCTCGGCAGGCAAACAGTGGCTAGTCTGCATCCTAGCTGGGCAGGACCTCAACGGACATCCAAAAATAAAGCCCAAACCCCTCAACACAGAGCATTTGAGAAAAAAAAGAGTTTTTTAAATGAGCTCTGTTGCAGCAGAATCAAACATAGCAGCCTAACAGCCCTGAATGAACAACACAGCTCACAGCTCAGCAATTAAACCCCTATAAAGTACAAACTGTCTCCTCAAGCAGCTCCCTGACCCCTCTATATCCAAAAGATTGACATTAGGCAGGCACCATCCTGGGACAAAGATAGCAGAAAAAGAAACTGGTAGCATCCCTCGCTGTGCCACAGCTGCTAGAGGTGCACCCCAGACAAGCAGGGTCTGAAGCGGACCTCAGCAGTCGTACAGCGAAGGGGCTAGACTGGTAGAAGGAAAACCAAGCAACAGAAATACTTCATCATCAACATTCAGGGTGTCCACTCAGAGACCCAATAGAAAAGTCAGCAACTACACAGACGACCAGCGGACAAATCCACAAAGATGGGAAGAAACCAGCGCAAAAAGGAGGAAAACACCCGAAACCAGAACACATCGCCTCCTAGAAAGGACCAAAACTCCTCACCAGCAAGGGAGCAAAGCTGGACGGAGAATGACTGTGACGAAATGACGGAATTAGACTTCAGAAGATGGAAAATGAGAAACTTTGGTGAGCTAAAAGATCATGTATTAAATCAATGCAAAGAAACTAAGAACCTTGAGAAAAGATTTGAAAAAAGATTCGAGGAAATGATAACAAGAATGGATAACTTAGAGAGGAATATGAATGAATTAAAGGAGCTGAGAAACACAATACGAGAACTTCGCGAAGCATGCACAAGTTTCAATAGCCGAATTGACCAAGCAGAAGAAAGAATATCTGAAGTCGAAGACCAACTCAATGAAATAAAACGAGAAACCAAGATTAGAGAAAAAAACGCAAAAAGGAATGAACAAAGTCTCCAAGAAATGTGGGACTATGTGAAAAGACCTAACCTACGTTTGATAGGTGTACCAGAAGGGGACGAAGAGAACGAATCCAAGCTGGAAAATACTCTTCAGGACATCATCCAGGAAAATTTCCCCCACCTAGCAAGACAGGCCAACACTCAATTGCAGGAAATTCAGAGAACACCACAAAGATATTCCGCAAGAAGAGCAACCCCAAGGCACATAATCGTCAGATTCAATAGGGATGAAATAAAGGAGAGAATACTAAGGGCAGCCAGAGAGAAAGGTCAGGTCACCCACAAAGGGAAGCCCATCAGACTCACAGCAGATCTCTCGGCAGAAACACTACAAGCCAGAAGAGAGTGGGGGCCAATATTCAACATTCTTAAAGAAAAGAACTTTCAACCCAGAATTTCATATCCAGCCAAACCGAGCTTCAGAAGTGAAGGAAAAATAAAATCCTTTGCAAACAAGCAAGTACTCAGAGATTTTGTCACCACCAGGCCTGCTTTACAAGAGCTCCTAAAAGAGGCACTACACATAGAAAGGATCAACCAGTACCAGCCATTCCAAAATCACACTGAATGCTAAAGAGCATCAACATAATGAAGAATCTACAACAACTAACAGGCAAAACAGCCACTTAGCATCAAAATGGCAGTATCAAATTCACACATAACAATATTAACCCTAAATGTAAATGGACTAAATGCACCAATCAAAAGACACAGACTGGCAAATTGGATAAAAAGCCAAAACCCATCAGTGTGCTGTATCCAGGAAACCCATCTCACATGCAAGGATACACAAAGGCTCAAAATAAAGGGATGGAGGAAGATTTACCAAACTAATGAAAAGCAAAAAAAAGCAGGAGTTGCAATTCTCATCTCTGATAAAATAGACTTTAAAGCAACAAAGATCAAAAGAGACAAAGAAGGCCATTACATAATGGTAAAAGGATCGATACAACAAGAAGAGCTAACGATCCTAAACATATATGGACCCAATGCAGGAGCACCCAGATACATAAGGCAAGTTCTTAAGGACTTACAAAAGGACTTAGACTCCCACACAATAATAGTGGGAGACTTTAACACTCCACTGTCAATACTAGACAGATCTACCAGACAAAAAATCAACAAGGATATCCAGGGCTTGAACTCAGACCTGGAGCAAGCAAACCTGATAGACATTTACAGAACTCTCCACCCCAAATCCACAGAATACACATTCTTCTCAGCACCACATCACACCTACTCTAAAATTGACCACATAATTGGAAGTAAAGCACTGCTCAACAAATGCAAAACAACTGAAATCATAACAAACAGCCTCTCAGACCATAGTGCAATCAAGTTAGAACTCAGAATTCAGAAACAGACCCAGAACCGCACAGCTTCATGGAAACTGAACAACTGGCTCTTGAATGTTGACTGGGTAAACAACGAAATGAAGGCAGAAATAAAGAAGTTCTTCGAAACCAATGAGAATGAAGACACAACGTGCCAGAACCTCTGGGACACATTTAAAGCAGTCTCTAGAGGAAAGTATATAGCAATAAGTGCCCATCTGAGGAGAATGGAGAGATCCAAAATTGACACCCTATTGTCAAAATTGAAAGAGCTAGAGGAGCAAGATCAAAAAAACTCAAAACCCAGCAGAAGACAAGAAATAACTAAGATCAGAGCTGAGCTGAAGGAGATTGAGACACGAAAAACCCTTCAAAAAATCAATAAATCCAAGAGCTGGTTTTTTGAAAAGATCAACAAAATAGACAGACCGCTAGCCAGATTGATTAAAAATAAAAGAGAGAACAACCAAATAGATGCAATAAAAAATGATAAAGGGGAAATCACCACAGATTCCACAGAAATTCAAACCATCATCAGAGAATATTACAAACAACTATATGCGCATAAACTAGTAAACCTGGAAGAAATGGACAAATTCCTGGATTCCTGTGTCCTCCCAAGCCTAAATCAGGAGGAAGCTGAAACTATGAATAGACCAATAACAAGGTCTGAAGTTGAGGCAGCAATTAAGAGCCTACCACACAAAAAAAGCTCAGGTCCAGACGGGTTCACAGCCGAATTCTACCAGACACACAAGGAAGAGCTGGCACCATTTCTTCTAAAACTATTTCAAACAATCCAAAAAGAGGGAATCCTTCCCAAATCATTTTATGAGACCAACATCATTCTGATACCAAAACCCGGCAGAGACCCAACGAGAAAAGAAAACTTCAGGCCAATATCCATGATGAACATAGATGCAAAAATCTTCAATAAAATATTGGCAAGCCGATTGCAACAGCAAATCAAAAAACTTATTCATCATGATCAAGTAGGATTCATCCCGGGGATGCAAGGCTGGTTCAACATACGCAAGTCTATAAATGTAATTCACCACATAAACAGAACCAAAAACAAAAACCACATGATTATCTCAATTGACGCAGAGAAGGCATTTGACAAAATTCAACAGCCCTTTATGCTAAAAACCCTCAATAAACTCGGTATCGATGGAACGTATCTCAAAGTAATAAAAGCTATTTATGACAAACCAACAGCCAATATCATACTGAATGGGCAAATACTGGAAGCATTCCCTTTGAAATCTGGCACTAGACAAGGATGCCCTCTTTCACCACTCCTATTCAATATAGTACTGGAAGTTCTAGCCAGAGCAATCATGCAAGAAAAAGAAATAAAGGGTATTCAAATAGGAGAGGTGGAAGCCAAATTGTCTCTATTTGCAGACGACATGATAGTATACCTAGAAGACCCCATTGCCTCAGCCCAAAAACTCCTGAAACTGATAAGCAACTTCAGCAAAGTCTCAGGATATAAAATCAATGTGCAAAAATCACAAGCATTCGTCTACACCAATAACAGACTTAAAGAAAGCCAAATCAAGAACAAACTGCCATTTGCAATTGCTACAAAAAGAATAAAATACCTTGGAATACAACTCACAAGGAATGTAAGAGACCTCTTCAAGGAGAACTACAAACCACTGCTCAACGAAATCAGAGAGGACACAAACAGATGGAGAAACATTCCATGTTCATGGTTAGGAAGAATTAATATCGTGAAAATGGCTATACTGCCCAAAGTAATTTACAGAATCAACGCTATCCCCATCAAGCTACCATTGACTTTCTTCACAGAACTGGAAAAAACCACCATGAACTTCATATGGAGCCAAAAGAGAGCCCGCATAGCCAAGTCAATTCTAAGCAAAAAGAACACAGCGGGGGGCATCACACTACCGGATTTCAAACTATACTACAAGGCTACAGTAATCAAAACAGCATGGTACTGGTACCAAAACAGAGATATAGACCAATGGAACAAAACAGAGGCACCGGAGGCAACACAACATACATACAACTATACAATCTTTGATAAACCTGACAAAAACAAGCAATGGGGAAAGGATTCCATGTTTAACAAATGGTGTTGGGAAAACTGGCTAGCCATGTGCAGAAAGCAGAAACTGGACCCCTTCCTGACACCTTACACTAAAATTAACTCCAGATGGATTAAAGACTTAAACATAAGACCTGGCACCATAAAAACCCGAGAAGGAAATCTAGGCAAAACCATCCAGGACACAAGAGTAGGCAAGGACTTCATGAACAAAACACCAAAAGCATTGGCAACAAAAGCCAAAATAGACAAATGGGACCTAATGAAACTCCACAGCTTCTGCACGGCAAAAGAAACAGTCACTAGAGTGGATCGGCAACCAACAGAATGGGAAAAAATTTTTGCAGTTTACCCATCTGACAAAGGGCTGATATCCAGAATTTACAAAGAACTCAAACAGATTTACAGGAAAAAATCAAACAAGCCCATTCAAAAGTGGGCAAAGGATATGAACAGATACTTTACGAAAGAAGACATATATGAGGCCAACAATCATATGAAAAAATGCTCATCGTCACTGATCATCAGAGAGATGCAAATCAAAACCACATTGAGATACCATCTCACGCCAGTTAGAATGGCGATCATTAAAAAATCTGGAGACAACAGATGCTGGAGAGGATGTGGAGAAAAAGGAACACTTTTACACTGTTGGTGGGAGTGTAAATTAGTTCAACCATTGTGGAAGACGGTGTGGCGATTCCTCAAGGCCTTAGAAATAGAAATTCCATTTGACCCAGCAATCCCATTACTGGGTATATATCCAAAAGACTATAAATCTTTCTACTATAAGGACACATGTACACGAATGTTCATTGCAGCACTGTTTACAATAGCAAAGACCTGGAATCAACCCAAATGCCCATTGATAATAGACTGGATTGGAAAAATGTGGCACATATACACCATGGAATATTATGCAGCAATCAGAAATGATGAGTTAGTGTCGTTTGTAGGGACATGGATGAATCTGGAGAACATCATCCTCAGCAAACTGACACAAGAACAGAAAATGAAACACCGCATATTCTCACTCATAGGCGGGTGATGAAAAATGAGAACACATGGACACAGAAAGGGGAGTACTAAACACTGGGGTCTATTGGGGGGAAAAGGGGAGGGCCAGTGGGAGGGGGAGGTGGGGAGGGATAGCCTGGGGAGAAAAGCCAAATATGGGTGAAGGGGAGAAGAAAAGAAAGCACACTGCCATGTGTGTACCTACGCAACTGTCTTGCATGCTCTGCTCATGTACCCCAAAACCTATAATCCAATAAAGAATTAAAAAAAATAAAAAAATAAAATAAAAAAAAAAGACATTATTTTTAAACAACTAGAAAGCGTAAAAGAACCCTGGAAAAGGCTTTTTTTTAAATAAAAAAGCCGACCCTAAACCATTACTTTTCTAACAGAAAGCAGCCTGAAAAGCCAAGCTGCAAACATAGATACGTAAATTAGAGGCTTGCAGATGTAAATGCAGGTAACTAAGAGTCAGGACCACTCAATATGACTGTTCCGGCTCACTGCTCCCTTTCCTTTTTTGCCACGTGTGCAAGTTTCTCTGCAACAGCCAGGTAGAAGCCACACTTGCATAATAAAAGATCAGGGTGGGAGGGCCAGGATTTTCATGGGTTATGTGAATGACACACCAAGTCAAACAAATCCCCTGGGCCCTATGCAAAGCAGACACCACCTCCTTGAGCCTCCCAATGTAACTGACTGCTTTCCCCACAACTGGGGTTATTCCATTCACAGCCTTCCTCCCTCTGTATAGCGGAGCTATTCTCCTTTCTTGCCTATCAAACTTTACGCTCCACATGTGTAAATTTGTGTTGTTAATCTGCACAGCACGAGATGACAAACCACAGGTATCGTCCCAGACAACGAAGCTGCTTCACTATGTTGAAAATAACTGGAGTGATTTACATAATCTACAATATAACCTATAGTACTAAATATTTAATAATGTCTAATAATCATCATTAATCTCTAAAGAAAAAAACAAGTGAAATAATTTTATGACATTTTCCATGAACAAATTGGCTCCTTATCTCTCTACTAAATTTGGAGGGAAAATATATATTTACTTATATATTGATTAAATATATATATAAATTTATAAATATATAAAACATGCAATATATATGTAATATATTTATATAATATGCAATATATATGTAATATATATTTATATAATATAATATGCAATATATTTATAGATATGCACATTTGTAAATATATTTAAAAATAAAAAATTTTAATATATTTTATATATATGAAAGACTAGTCTTTTTCACAACATACTTACAACATACATTTGGTTTATGTTTTACAGCTTATTAATTAATATCGGCCTAAAATCTTGCTGATGTTGCTCTAACCCATAGAGGAAAGCATTGTAGATGAATTACACCTTTGCCTAAAACGTTAAAGTAGATTCTTACCACAATTAAAATACAAAAAATTTCTTAGACTAGAAGACCTTTGCAGTCACATAAAACTTAACCCCTAAATTTCTCACACTTATTCATTATATTTCAACCACTCTGGGGTTTCTTTATATTATTTAAATATAATAAGTTTATTCTCTCATTACACATACTCTCCCACATTGCCTACAAGACAAAGGGGAGGTACTCAATGAAAAATAGGATTTGTTAAATGAGTGAATGAATTCCAGACAGAATTCCTCCTTCTCAGTTTCTCATTATAGAGTCCATTTGACAAACTATATGTCTACTCAATAACCTCTTCATGGAAGTTTTCACTTCCTGGTTGCGAAGGGTATAAATCATAGGATTCATCAATGGGAAGATCACTGTATGAAAGAAAGAAACCACCTTGTCAGCTGGTAAGGCCCTGAAGGGGCGAGTGTAGATGAAGATAGCAGGTCCAAACATAAGAAGTATAATAATGACATGAGTGGTACACGTGGATAAGGCCTTGTTCTTCCCTTCAGAAGCTGACCTACGAACATAGCAGAGGATGACTGCATAGGAGGTCAGAAGCCCCAGGAAGCACAAGAGTGTCATCAGGCCACTGTTGAAGACCATCAGAAGCTCCACCACAAACGTGTCGGTGCAGGCCAGCTTGATGACCTGTGGGACATCACAGAAGAAGTTGTCCAGCTGGTTTGGGCCACAAAAAGGCAAGCGGAGGATGAGGACCACCTGGACAATGGAGTGGACAAAACCCCCAAGCCACAAAGCCAACAACATTGCATAACAGGCTCTAGGGTTCATAACAGTTGAATAGTGTAAAGGCCGGCAGATGGCGATGTAGCGGTCAAAGGCCATCACAACAAGGAGTAATCCCTCCCCTCCTCCAAGGAAGTACAAGAGAGCTGAGTGATGCAGCCTCTGTAGGAGATTACCTTCTTCTCAGAGAGGAAGTCCACAAGCATCCTGGGAGCCACAATGAAGGAGTAGGAAGCATCCAGGAAGGCCAAGTTGTCCAGAAAGAAGTAGAGTGGGGCTGTGAGCCCAGGGTCTGACCTTATGGTAAAAACGATGAGGAAATTACCAGGAAGGATGATAAAGTAGAAAATTAAGATCAGCACAAAGACCAGAAGCTGAGTATCTTGAGACTGGGTCAAACCCCGGAGGATAAATTCTGTCACTACTGTGTTTTCTATCTTCATTTCCTCTGCCTATAGATTATCAATCAAAGAGTTTATTTTCATGTGTTACATCTAGATTATAGTTCTTAAACTAAACACAAGATATGCCACATTTATATTATTCTATCTCAACAACAATTTCAAAGAAGAAATCATTTCTACCCTTTACGCTTCCTCATTTCATGATGGCCAACACTCTGGTCCTGAAGCCACACTCTTCCTTCTGTTTCAGTCCTGTGCTTCTGTTTAAGTGTTCACTCATGTGAGACTTGAATGCTACTGTTCTGAATGTTACTGATTTGTATGAGGCATAGGAAAAATTTTCTGACTAAAGGAAAACTTAACCCCAGTTATCGAGGTCTTCATGTTTTGCTTAGAATGGAGGATGAGCTGAGATTGACAGCAAAGAAGAATGACAGAGCTTTTTGAGGGAACAGAAATGTTCCATTTTTAATTATAATGGTTATATGTATCTATTTTTGTCAAAACTGATTGAGCTATTGAACTATACAGCAATTAGTACAAATTATTTTATATAAATGATACCTTAGGAGTTTTTATCTAAAAACTTTGATAAAAGCAACTATGCTTACCAGAAATAATTCCCTTTTCTCTATAGAGCATCAGCTAAACAAGCTGGACTAAATAAAAAGAATCTCGGTAATGCTGGAGAAAACAAGAGCTGAGGCTTCTATGTACAGCAGCCTCCAAATTGAGACTGCACTCATGCCTGGGGATGTGCATGATAATTTATTGGTATAAAAGCAATAATAGGAGAATTTCTACACATATATTATTGTATCCTATTGTTTGAAGTTTTGTTTTTTAACATTTTACAGTTTATATAGAATCATAGTATAAATGAATATGAAATACAGCTCAAAAAATGGTTTATGGCTGAAATAAAAAAATTTAAAAGCTAAAGATCTTGAGCTGTAACAAAACACTACAATTTGATACAGAAAAATTTTTCATGTGCTTCTGTTACATGGTACATTTGTTTTTAAATAATGTGGAATATGAAATGTAGACTAGAGGGAAAGAAAAGTTCATTAACTAACTGAATGAGGAGACAGCATGTGAGAGGGAAAGGAAAAAATCATAAAGTCCCAAATTAAGAAATCAAAGAAAATATTTATAATGACACATCTATTGAAACATCAAACAATATGCTTTTTAAAATATATCTAATACTAATAGATTAATTAATAGCTGAGGTTTTCAGATATGGTCAAAATTGGGAATTATGAAAGCAGTAGCTAGGCCGGGCACTGTGGCTCACACCTGTTATCCCACCATTTTGAGAGGTCAAGGCAGGTGGATCACTTGAGGTCAAGAGTTCAAGACCAGCCCTGCGAAACCCCATTTCTACTAAAATACAAAATTTAGTAGGTGTGGTGGCAGGAGCCTGTATGTGCCAGCTACTCCAGAGGCTGAAGCATGAAAGTCACTGGAACCCAGGAGAGGGAGGTTGCAATGAGCCAGATCACACCACTGCACTCCAGCCTAGGCAATAGAGCATGACTCTGTCTCAAAAAAAAAGCAAAAAAAGTACCTTACATCACAGACACATGTATGTACATCATACAGATACACATGAAGACACAAAAACACACACACACAAACACATGTCCTAACCAAAGCAGAAGCATAAAAATTTACATATGATATCCTTCTTCTTTTGTTATATTTTTGTTTTTTGGCACTTGGCCATTTATTGACCTTAATATTTATCACTCCTTCTGTGCATGTAAAACCTGCTAATAGAAAAGTCAGGAATCCCTCTCTGCTTATCCTTAAGTTGTATGCATCTTGCACATTATAATGTAGTTGGTTATTTTACACTCTTTCAAAAACTGAGGATGTATTTGGGTCATAGGAGAAACTTTTAAGTATCTCTGAGATTGGAAGTTATAGGTTCTTGCATTGTACCTTGCATTTCATTCCTAGCATCCACTTCTGTTCTCCTATTGACTCGGTCACACCTGGAACTTACTACCATCAAATATCTCTGATTCACTGTGCTCCCTTTGTGTACTTCCCTCTAAGCTCTTTTGTCATACTGATACTGCTCACACCAGGCTCATTATAGATCCAGAGACCAAATATATATATATTCACAAGATAGACATTCCTCTAGGTAAAATGAAGTAACTCTCAGCAAAATAAAAACACAGAAATTCCTGCAAAGACAAGTTTGGTCTTGTCTAACTATATTTAGAAGGACCTAACTGTATAGAAGGACCACTGTCAGTGGAAGCCGAAATAGAAATCTGAATGCCTGCCACTCTCTCTACCCAATATTTCAATTTCAACGGAAACAAAATTTTATCTGGCACTGACAATGCTGGAGCAGCACAGAGGAGGAAAGAGTGATGGGTGGGGCGCACACATGTTCCAGCTAACTGCTGCTCTATGTACTGTTCATGCTTAGAGTCCAGGCTCTTGTTGGAAAGTTTCATGAAGCAGGTGTTTGGAGGCTTGATTCCCATCCACAGGCACTAATTCACTTATTTTTCTTTATATTTCCTCATGCTTCCTTTTAAAAAAAATATTTTATTATTTTCCATTCCTGTCTCACTAAATATTTCTATACTTCATTTTTTAAGTTATACTTTTACACTTGAGTTGGTTTCTTTTTCTCTATTTTATCTTCTCTCTTTTTTGCTGTCATATTTGTTCTCTAATGATTCCCCTTGTTTTTCTCTTATCTCTTTTATTTTTCTGCTTTGTTGCTTTTATTTTTGAATGTTCTTGTAGTTTCCAGTATTTTTTTCCACTCATTCTTCTTGTCTTCTCATTTCTCTTTTATTAGATCTCATGCTTGCCTTACCATTAATTCTGAGAAGCATCACTATTGTTTTCTTTTGAAACAATAGTAAGGACAGCACATGAAGTTTCTTCACTCCAATTGTTTTAAGGGTCAAAAATCACTAACTCACCTTTTAGTACTAAATTACTTTCCTTAAATAGTATCCTCTTTAAAATATACTGTATGAACACTTTTAAATTATTTCCCACTACCTCAAGTATGTTGTCTGTTTGTAACTAATCTTAATAAAAGTGGCAATATTTACCTTTATGCTTGAAAGAAATTTCTCATTAATCTACCCTACCAGCAAAAATATATTTTATAAACATCCCCAAAATAAGAATAAGAATATGATGTATATTAATACATGCTATCTAGTTTGTAACCCATAAGTATATAATTTCTAATTTTTTTGTGTTCTGAGAAATATGGATAAAGTTAAAGAGCGTTATCAAATCATTGACAGATACCAAATTTTATAATGCCACAATTTCGTAATGGACATCATAGAAAAAGCCCTTGTTTAAGCATCTGTCTATCTGAGTTTAAGTTCTTCATCCTGCAATTTTTTTAACCCTGAGATCTTGGGAAGGTCACTCATCTTCATTAGCCTGAGTTACTTTATCTCACTGTGTTGATTTACAAATATAATAAGATGAGAATGATACAATAAGTAGCATATTGAAATCTGACTAAACCAAAATCAAATCAGGAAAAACGTAGATATTAAGAGGAACTTTAGTTTCTAAGAAGTAAATGCATAACATAGATCCTCTGTCCCTGCCTTTGAAATGAGTTTCTGGGGTAAAGGTAGCTGTGTAAATGTAAGAGATTATAAGAAAATAATTTATGGAAGTTTCACTTCAGCCAGCTGTCAAAGCCCGATTGGTATATGGAAAGACTATTTGCAAAAGAACCTCTCATCCCAGCAGGTATGCAAACAGTCAGAGCTAGTCTCCTGGAAAATCATGAAGTTGGTAAAGATTTTCTTTGCATTCTAGCATTTCTGCATTGGTTATGATTTCTGTTTCCTCGCATCTTTCAGTTAATAGATATAGGTTTAGGACCAAGTATAAACATTCCCAAGGCAATGTTAATAAAGGCTTTACATATTCCCAATAAATGAATTCTAAATATTAGGAGAAACTGGAGCTATATTATTAAGAACAGGTAAAAAGTGCTATTGTATTATTTAATTCAGATTTAACATATTAATCTATTTCTGTTATAATTCTGATCTTTGCATTTCAAGGCAGCAGATGCCCCACCTGAGATGTTGCAATATCTGTTTCCATTTCTTCCTTATTTATGTTCCTCATAAATATGAAGAATGGCAAAAAACATTTACCTCTCTAGTAATCTAATGCTCCTCTCACACAGCAGATATCACCTCCCTCTAACAGAAGGAACAATAACTGATTTTTCCTGACTTCATTCTTAAATATCTCTTCTCACAGAGGAATCTCTTACTCTTTGAAATATGCAACCAATTTGTGATGCAATGGAGAATGTACTTTGGGAATTGGAAGGCTAACGAAACTGCAAAACATTTTCCATGGGAATTGTTGGAACGCCAAGAAAATATAGTCAAAGAATGAGACTAGAAACATGTTATACATAAATAGTCAAGTAGATATAATTTTAAAGTCACTATGTCACTTCTAAGTTTTAAAATCAACATTCAATCAGTGACAGAGATTACAGAACAGCCAGCATGTTTTTTAGTTTCATGTGGACAGAAAGCCAAAAGAGGTTGTTTTATTTCTTACATTACTATTTTTTAAGTATATAATAGGAAATCATTGATATATCAAGAAAGGAAGTAATGTGGTCAGGTAGGTAGTATGTTAAATTCAATATATTTCTAGTGACAAAGATATAGGCAAAGAAAAGTAAATAATATTCACAAATACCCTTTGACATATTCCTTCTTAGAAAGACAAACTGCGTGTTGTAGGACTAATTCCTCACAAAGAGATATATTCTTAAATATACTCTATTGTGGTCTTGGCATTTGTTAACAAAACTATTTTTTAATTAAATATTACTATAAAGAAGAAAAGTTCTGTGTGTAATATATACAGATAGACAGAAGTATAGAATATTGTATCAAAAAGATAGCTATCATTTCTGGGTGAATTATATATTTTTATTTTTCTTCATGTTATATTTTTCTTCATTGCCTGAATTAGTTGTAATAAACACATCATTTTTATAATCAGAATAAAAGTAAATCTGTATAAAGACTAGTACATTGAAGTGTAACTGTCCCAAATCTTAGTTTATATAATGTTATTTTCATACACTTCAGTTCTTTCTTTTTCTAAACATGTTTGTTGTTGCTGCTATCTTACACAGTAGATGTTTATTTAGATTTACCCACATATTTGCTATTCCTTTTCTGATGTTTCTGATCTCCTATCTGCAATCACATTCTTGTTTCAACCACATCACTTGAAATTTCTTTCAGTGATTGTGTGCTTGTGGCAAATTCTCTGCTCCTGTTTTTCTGACGATGCTTTTGATTATATTTTCACAGAGATGAAAACTATTTTCTATTGTCATAATATAACTCTTCACTGGTTTACATTTTTGTTGTTAAAGAAGTGAGATCAGCCAGGTGTGATGGCTCATGCCTGTAACCCCAAAACTTTGGGAGGATGAGGTGGGTGGATCACTTGAGGCCAGGAGTCCAAGACCAGCTTGGCCAACATAGTGAAACCC